TTTTTTTTTTTTTTTCCTCCCCTCTCCTCACTTCGTTTGAAGCCTTGCTGCCGGCCATTCCCCCTGAAGGATAGCTTGCGCCTGTGAGTGCTGAACTCGTCAGATGTCGTTAGTTTTGATGCATGACATTTAAACGGCTTTCGTTAATTAACAGAAGGAAAAAAACGGGAGTTTGGACGTATTGGAAGATGGAACCATGACATCAGCACTCCAATTAAAACACTGAGTTTGAAAAATACATCTCTGCTTTGCTAACTGGCTTGACATGAAGGACTCTGAGGAAGCTGTTTACTTGTCATTTCTCAATGAACAACAAAGACGCTGGAAAAAAGAAGAAAGCGACCATCGTTCCCTGGAGAGCCTTGACAGTAGCTTTCTTTATTCTCACGTGTGGGATACTTTATAGTGTACAGCTAAATGGATCAAGCTAGGTCAACTGAATGTGCTGCCTTTAAATCTCCACGTGAAATTATAGGGGCTGAATTTTTCCTTTTTTCCTCTTTCTTTGGAAAAGATGTCTTGGTCAAGCTCACAGTTGCACCACGCAGAGACCAATTAGATGTTTCTAGCTGCCTAATTAATGCACCCATAAGGATATCTCTTGATTCAACAAACACTCATGCCCATATTTTCTCAGCATATAATTTCTCTTTCTAATGAGCATAGGCATGAGCGAATACTGCAGTTAAAAAGAGCATTGTGTTTTTGCTGAAGCAGCCTACCTCTGAACTCACCAAGCCCTAAAGCCAATGTTTAAAGCGTAATCTGCAGCTGTTTTCCCAACTCAAAGAGCCATTCTTTAAAAGACTCATCAGACGTCAGCCTGCTTTAAAAACCAGCGGTGCCACAGAGTCACCAGAGATATTAACTGGTCCGATTGAATCTCCAGATTCAGGAAGAAAGAAAAAAAACGCAAACTGTTTGACTTAACACTTAATGACTAAGATGTTCCATCTGCTGCAGATCTGAGTTTGTTTTGAGACGGAGTAAAAACACACACTCTAAACAGGCCCTCGAGCAGCACGTACTGTAGAGATCCATTTCAGTTAAGGAATTTATCTGACGAGCCTATGCAGAGTGACTTCATTGAGTAAGGAGGGTTTCATTTGCGTCTGGTTTCGAGGATCCATGAAGTTGTTGTTACTGACACTCTGCAGAGAATGGGTAATACACATGCAAAGACCAAAGGAGTAAATAAATCAAACAAAGAAATGAGATGTTTACGCCAAATTACACAAAAACAAATCAATTCCATCATTAGAATCATTACGGCAAAGACTTCCCAGACCATTTATCCGTCTCCTCCTTTTCCGTTCCTAAGTGTCCTCATCTGGGAAGCTGTTTTAAATCTTGACCCATTTGTCACAGTCTGTGGACAAAAGTATACGGACACCAGCATGTTGCACAATCTCATCCTACCAGTTAACCCCAGTCGTTAACGGAGCCTTGTCCCCGTGTTGCTGATGTTTGTTGTCTTCATTGTTTCGTCCAGGTCCAGGAGCCTCAGACAGACAGGCAGCTAATCGAGACGTCTCCGGTCCTTCAGAAACTGACCAGCTTCGAGGACTCTATCGGAGTCCTGTTCACACATGTGCGTCTGCTGGCCAGAGCTTTCACCTTGAGGACTGTGGGCTTTAACCACCTCACCCTGTAAGTACAGTCGCAGTTTGTTTGTTTGGTAATAGAGTTACAGCCAATAAAAATGCAAAGTGAGGCGCTAGATGGCCAGATGTAATTTGCAGGGATGCTGCAGGAGTAGCCAGACTTTGTCCATAGCTCCCTGAAGAGGTGATAAGGAACGGTGCATTATAGTTAATAATGCGATCTGAGATGCTGGGACTTTTATCATGAAGCATTTTAAATTGTTTGTTTTTGTTGTGAGCTGTGGCAGCCGCCTCCTCCCACATCATCACATTTACCCCCCGCAGCTTACACATCCTCTGACAGTCTCCGTGGCTTCCTGGATGGGAAGCCATGTCCTCAATGTCATGTTTAAATTACCTCAGTGAACTGTTTCTTCTGCCATGTTTTTAATCCGAGGGTCTCTCAGCTGACAGAGAGAGGGCCCCGAGGGACTCTGAAGTCACCATATCTGTAGTCTGTCTGGAGCTGCGAGGCCATAACCCCACTGCCCCATGGGAAATGGGGTTTTGATTCACTGGGTTGTCCAGGGCTGGATGTTTAAATTTTCTCTTTTTTCATTCATTGCAGCCACATCTCTTGTTTGACAGTTTTCTTCCTCTCATTGTCATGCTTCAGCCCTTCCTGTGAAATCCTGGCTTCGCATTTATTTAGTCCAGACTTAATGTGGACGGCTGCCATGTCCCACTGAGGATGCATCTGAAGAAAAATCCAACAAATTTGATATGACGTGCGATCTTAAGAATGTATTCTAATACCACCCACACCCCCCTTCATTTACACAAGCAGTTAGTCGAGGTTGAACACTGTCCGCTCATCCGTGGGGCCTCCTCCGCTGCCTCCCTCGGGTGAACCCGCAGATCTGCTGTCGTTGAAGAGTAAGGCATTTGTTACTTTGCCATATTTCCGCACGCCGCTTATGAGATGCTTCGGTGTCCTGACTGTCTGTGCTCGGGGCAGCTTTGAATGCTGGTGTATTCCTTTTTTTTTTAGCAAAACAATGTAATTCTTGCGTCACAGCGGAGCGACCATGCTGTCCGACAAATGTGTTCCAAGTCATTGCACGCCGGTGACAAAGCTAATAGGCTAGCTATGCAGGTGACGGAGCTGCAGTAAGTTCAACCGATCATAGAAGCTAATGATGCAACAGCACAAGCGGGACAACCAGGGGACGTTAATAAGAAATCCTCCGTACACCACCGTCTAATTTCGTCTCGCCCTCAGTCGACTACTCGTGTCTTCGTGGACCTTTGAAAGATGCAGCCCCTGAATTTGGACACAGTTTGCTATGTACATAAGCTGCCCCAATATATTCTGCTAGAGGGGAGATTTTAGTTTAGTGTTTGCTCTGTTCCCTGCTGCATGTCACAGTGCTGCTGTGGTGATTTAGCACTGATACCGCTCAGCTTCTGCTTCTGACATTTCTGCGATAGTCGGTAAAGTTGCAAACTTCTGCAGAGAGGACTCGGAATTGATCAGAGAGCGAGCGGCTCGGTCAGTTTGCAGCACAACCTCGCTCGTTTACTTGGGAACAGAAGATGGCAAGTTTAAAAAAAAAAAAAGATGGCTATTTTTATATGAAAATGTTTCCACTAATGAGACTGTTCACTCCAATTTGAGGTGTTTTTGATTTTGAGAATGAGAGGATTATCTGCAATGGAAGCTTAACTCACTTCTGAGCTTTACAACACAACACAATAGTGAGTTTGACAGCTAAAGCAAATTAGTCTTGGCAGCACGACTCTGATATCTTATTGGCAGGCTGCAGTCCGTAATTGCTTGCTTAGTTTTGCCACAAGGACATTGCCTTGTGTGTGTGCATGTCTGTGGTTGTGTGTATCTTGCCCACATGCTGTACAGTGCCGTGTTTGCTCTAATCCATCACTTAAATGTCAAACCTCTCCTCACTCATGGTCAGTGAAATCGACAAGAGGTCCAGAGGTTCGTCTGCCGCCGAGCTTTACTGTAAGGTGTTTCTCCTCAAGGTCGATGGCGATGATATTTTTTAACATGTCGGCATCACGTCCAGCAGTTTGATCTTTGTGTGAGCAACAAGCAGTACTTTTAACCCAATTAGTTTTTTATGTAGCTACATATTGTTGTTAATTTTCCCGAAGCAAAAACAAATAGATCATTTACACATTTCCAGGGTAATTGATGTTCATTAGCTCATTAGTGGCCAAAGGCACGTTGACCCAAATAGAGCCGACTGACTTGAAGATGGAGCCTAGCAACGGTTGCCCGTGAGGACCAAAGGTTGAACCGAAGTAGGTCGCTCTGTCGTGATGGAAAGAAGAACGAGGTGAGATAAGGAAAAGCAAGGTCAGACAATAAGGTGGGCAGCAAATGAGGAGACAGGAACCAGGTTGACCTTTAGCCCAACGCTTTATGCTGGAGTAGAGGACAAACCGACCTAGAGGAGGACGGCACAAGAAGGAAGGTTGGGAGTTGACCCTGTGAGAGGTGGAGAACGTAGGCTTGCATCTGACAGCACAAACAGAGCTGCGGCCCCCAGGCACCGGGCTTCTTCTTCTCTCACAGCGGAAACGCTGGGTGTTGCAAGAATTTCACCATTTGTGTAAAAGTGTCCACCTCGCTTGGTGTTCAGTGTTGTTTGTTGAATCAAAGTGAATTTTATTATGCAGCTCTGAAAGTGGTCATTTGAAGAATATACACACAATTAAGTTCTATTAGCCAGATTTAGGGGACATTAAAACACGGATCGGTAAATGCAACATTTCGGCGTGTTGCAGTTTTTATAAGCAATAAAATTAAAGGAATTTTATGAAAATAAATTTTAATGTGTTGCAGCTCAGAGTTTGTTGTTGTTTTCTGTAGAAAAGGGGATTTTTAGCAGGCCACTTGCAGAAAGGTACAAGATATAGCCTGAAATAGAAGCTTGTTATCAGGTCTGTACTTAAGGTTCATATCTGGTGATTCAGTAAAGTGTGGTGAAACATCTCAACTCATTTTCTGTTGGAAGAAAAGTACGAGTTTTGAGTTTTGGCAGTGGATTAAATATCGTGTCTGTAAAGATTTTATGTCATTCATTCTAAAACTTTAACTCCAAGGGAATATTTTTCCTCTGCAGGAAAAAAGTAATTTTCTGTTTTGTGCATTTTTTAGAAAGAGACCCTGAGATTTCATTACACCAAAGAACCTTTTTGAATTCATATTGATCTTTTGATGTGGCAAAATGTATTCTCAGAACCTCCAGTGGATTTTTGCTCCTGAAATTACACAATCGCTGAATGTTTGAGTCCAGAGTCACCGCTCCACTTGTCCTCCGCAGTTACATTTTTGTCCAAAGTAGCTGCGGTTTACACATTTGAACCTTGCACAAGCATGCACATTTGAAACAAGGACATAATTTCCCTAAGAAGCGAGAGGAAAAATTGCCTTACAAAATGGAGAGCTCCCCACTTTTGGAGCGAGCGGCCTGTCGCTGCCTCTTCACAGAGGCTGTTAAAGGTATTTTAGATCAAAGTCAAAGGCGAATAAAGACCTCGGCTCCACACTTTACTTCAATTTCCCCCACCTTACTGGAGCATTGTGCCTCTGCTGTTGAAGTGAATAAGGGATGGCTCTTTGTGCTGCTTCACACAGCAACGCATTCCTCTTTGACCCGTTCTATCTCTCCTCTTCCCCCTCTATCTCCTCTATTTTTTCCATTCGTCTCTCACCGTCACTCGACTGTTCCATCTCTCGCTCTGCCTCCTATTGGACGTGAAATTAGGTCTCTCCACACCTTCTCAATCTGTTTCTACGCAGCATGAGCTCCCTGGCAAACCCCTTCCCCAGCTCACATACAGCGTATCTGGTAGATTTTGATCAAATCCGCAGCGAACCTGTTGACGCCTGGCCTCCACCTCTCTCCTCTGTCAGTCTTCTCTTGCCTCCTCTTCCCAGCCTCAGCTCTGCACACGTGTTGTGGCAGATTCTTTTTTCATTAAGGAGCTCTGTGATTTTTAAATGTAGGAGTACGCGTCAGGCAGCGTTCCTTGACTTCCTTCCCTGCTAATGAAGCTCAATCCTGGGTCTTTCAACCCAGCCGTGAAATATAAAGCAGTCATTTAAATTCTTGCTTATTCTCTGTCCCTGCAACACCAAAACTGATTTGTCCATTTACAGAATATGAATTAAAAGTGTTAAATTGCTTATTTATGTGGCAAAAATACCAAACAGTTGCTCTGATGTGTTTTGTATTAAATTAAAAATCTTTGGAATCCAAAATATGAAATTTGAAAAAGTCACCTTGAGTGTGTTACTGCTGGATATTTAATAAACTAAATAAAAGAAAATAATCCTGCTGTTGTTGACCAATATCTTGAGTTGGAGATTTGTTTTTGTCTTGATCAAATTGTGATGGACGCCAGTGTTTTTTAAAACATTTAGTCAGCGGGAAAAATAATCATGACATTAATTGAAAACCAAATCGACTGACAGCTCAGCCCCGTTAAAGACGCTCAAACAGCTCGTTCGCCGAGTCTTTGCCTCAAATCTCTTTGGCTCAGATCCGCCGCGGCTCATAAAAGGTAGCGCCGCCAGGAATCGGACAATAAACTTTGACCTTTCTCTCTCTTTGATGTCAGCCGCCTCCTCTCGTCTTCTACCTCTGCATCCTTCTCTCTCTCATCTTCAAACTTTCCTCCCCTGTGAAGAGCTGGTTTCTATAGATGGATATGTGCTCAGCTGCTGTCTATACCTAGCTGCTTGTATGGCACTTACTTACGCCCCCCTACACTTCCTGCCTGCCTGCCTGGCACAGCACCAGCCCCCTTCTGCAATGCTAATCTATAATTCTGTTTAATTAATGACCATTACAGCAGCAGCAGCAGTAGCGTACCACCCCCCCCCCCTCAGCTCCTGCTGCCCTGTCTAGCTCTGTGCAGGGAGCCACAGTATGCTCGCTGCCTTTCAGCGGTGGCGAGAGAGGCAGGAAGCTGATGTACAGTATCACAGTCCTGCTATTAGCTTTTTCTAGGAATTGTTAGAAGGTTGAAAGTTGTTCTCCAAACCCGAGTGCACGCTTCCTGCTTTTCATGGGCTCAGGAGTTTGACAGGCACTCCTGCAGGTGCACCGGAGGTTGTTTTTTTTTTTTTTTTTAAGCGTGTATTTTTCCCATTTATATTTGAATTGCAATCAAAGCTCGACGTTTTCTTCAAAAGGGCTGGTACTTCGGGCGGCCTCCGAGTTGTCACACAGCCTGTCAGTGCAGCCGTTCCCAGAGGCCACCCATGAAATGTACATCAGCCGGTTTCACTGTTTCTCTTAAAAGACTAAAAGCCTTGTAGATTTGTCAAGAGAGTGCGATGCCTTTCATGACCCACTGATGTATGGTTGCGTAAGTGAACCCCCCCCGCCCGCCCCCTCCTATTACCCCGTTTCCCCTTGCTCTCCTACTTCACCCCTACTGTGTCATATCCTTCTGCAACCTGTTCTTTTTCTTTTTCTTCCTCATCGTTTTACCTCTTTAACTTTATCCATCCATCCATCTTCTCCAGGGGCCACAACCAGAGGATGGAGTTCCTGGGAGACTCGATCATGCAGCTGGTGGCCACAGAGTACCTGTTCATCCACTTCCCTGATCATCACGAAGGACATTTAACGGTAAGATCAAATCACCTATATCATGTGTCATCACACACGCACGCTCCTCAAATCCCCAAATTTTACATTTAACAGTTTCAATATATTTAATAATATATTTAATTTTAAAAAGTAGATTGAAGCCGGCCACTTCTGGGTACGTGTTCAACTGCCGCTGAAACTATGAGGTCTAAATGTATGCGAGGGCGGTAACAACTTTATGGATGATAGTTTTACACAGTATATAATACACATGATTAATATAGTTTTCAATCATGTGCTGCTTGTGGTCTCAGAATCCTCTCACACGTAGCCACACGTTCACCGTTAAGCTTTAGGCATTTTGTTGTGGTGTCGAGTTTAAATATAAAAAAGGTAACAGGGCTTGTGCAGCTATGTTTATATTCACTGTACGAAAGGCAACTATTTCAGATTTCACTACCCAACCCTACTTCTCACAGGCTTGTTTTCCTCCCACACACTTGGACTTTTGCACATTTTGTATCCATCCTCTGTTTCCGTGCCTCTGCCGTCTGAAGTTACCTGAAACCTCTGCTCGCTGCTTCTTACACGGGTTTACGTGAACTGAAGTTACAGCAGAGCTGTGATTGTGTGTGGAAGCTTTTTTATTGTGTATCCTTCCTTCCCATCAATCTTTGAATCTCCAAGTGGCAGCCAGGTACTCACCCCCTTTTCCTCTTTTGCTCGCTTCCACAAAATAACTCCCCACAGTGCGCCTGTGTGTTTACTGTACTTCCTTGTGATGGGCATTGTCACGAGACAAAATTGTTCAGTAGTTTTCAATAACACGTCTTTGTCGGCACATTTTTTGCAGAAGCTGTCAAGTGTGTGAAAAATAAAGTTGTGTGAGTGTGTTAGTGTGTGTGCGCATGGCTTTTAACACAGGTACAAAGCAAATGATCACACTGTGAACATGTAAGCGCATTTTCTGACAGCGTCAAACGCCGCTACAGCTCGCTCTTTTCATTCGACCATCAGCACTTCTCTTTAGAGGAGCGACTACTCAAGGCTGGAGGGATTGAACGAGTCTTAAACTGAATAAGAACCTCTGCAGTTAGATGCTTATTCGTGGGTATTCCTTATAGATGGAAGCCTTGATGTTAGCTGTATAAAAGCTTCCATCAAGCTTTCGTTGAGAGCCTGAAAGCTTCAGCGCTGTCTATGCCCAAGAGCCAAGATGGGGTACATCTGAAATGGATTTCAAATCGGGGAAAAAGTGCTCATTCAACTAGTGCATGTGTGTGTGTGTGTGTGTGTGCGCGCTTGTGTGGCTCTGATTGCGATGGCGTGCGTACTGTTAAGGAGGGCACATCACAGCAAGCCAGAGCCAGTCAGTCAAACCGCTTCCATTTGCTCTTTTACTCATCTCGTAGCTATATTTAACATGTTTGTGTTTTTCCCTTTTAGAGACGTAAATGTACCTCACCCAGTCGAACATGTTGTCATCCGCTCAGCCTCGAGTCACAATGCAATATTCAACAGAGCAACGTGCAATCTCCCTGAAACATTTACTCTGCATTACCGTTCGGTCTTTTGATGAATTATTCCACGTGGGGCTTTATTTTGATGTATTTGTGTACTTCTGTATTTTTCCATCTGCTTGAAGTGCTTCTGCGTTCGCACCTTGAGCACGATTCTGACGTCTCCCCCCGTACATTTTTTGTCCGTAGCTGCTCCGCAGTTCGCTGGTGAACAACCGCACGCAGGCCAAAGTGGCGGAGGAGCTGGGCATGCAGGAGTTCGCCATCACCAACGACAAAACCAAACGACCGGTGGCGTTGCGGACCAAGACGCTGGCTGACTTGTTGGAATGTAGGTTCACGGTTCTTTGATTCATTTGCAAAAATATAAAGCGAAGAAAAATAATTTATTTAGTTTGTATAACCCCTCCGCCACATTTTTCCGTATCTCTCACTCCTGGTGCAGTTTAAGAAAGTCAACATTAAGTGCCAGTATTGATTTCTCTGCTCTCTTCGTGTTAGATGTCAAACACTGTCACTTCTCGGCTGCAGACACTGGATGATGCTCCCAATGTGTCACAGGACTTAGTGGAGATTTTTCTTTTCTTCTTTTTATTTCCATCAGTTGCAGTTGCCACTTCTAATAATCTACTGGTGGTGCCCTGCTTGCTTAATTTTTCTTTCAATCAAATTAGAAAATATGTTCAGTTACGGCTGAGTGACGACAATATTAATAATTATCCCAGTATGATTTTCACCAAAAGCAATATAACAAAAGTTAAATGTCTATAAAATATTCATTGTACATTGTGCACAATGGTATAACATAGTAGGTTTTAATGTTCTACCTCAAATTTGTATTTTTTATCCATAAAGAAGAGTTTAAAACCAACCACCCTCGCCCAGGAGCAAAAAACAGTTTTTATAAATAATAATAATGAATTTAATTTGTAAAGCTCCTTTCAAAACACAGTCACGAACTGCTTTTCAAGCCAAAAATTAATAATTGAAGGCAAACGATAGGAAACAATTAAAAGCAGTTTGAAGACCACACATTAGCCAAACATAAGAGTGAAAATTAAAAATAGGAGCCAGGAATTCAAATTGAATTAGAATTTTAATTTTTTATTTCTCTAAACTTGAAATAATGAATAAGTTGAATCATAATTTATAGTAATAATTGTCAACACAATCACACACTGCGTAATCCTCCTATTGTTTATTTATTTATTTAAATTTAGAAAAAGAAGACGTGTGTTCCAGGGTAGCAGCTGCTTACATTTCAAATCTGTTTTCGTATGTTATAAATTGAAATGAGTACGATTGTTAATATTGGAATGAAAACAATGTGCTGCGTCAGGTGTGAAGTTTACAGAGACACTTTCACCATGAAGCTGCCTCTGGTTTGTTGTCAAACACATTTGTCAGTGTCTCTGGGTGGGACGCCTGTCAGGGATTATCTCGTGGTTCTCCCGACTCCAGCTGGAATCGTCAGGTGGTGAATCTCTCTCCTGAGGTGTGGTAAAAGAAATCCATGGCCCGTTCTCAGATACCCGCTGACTCGTTCTTCATTCAGGATGAAGTCACGCTCATCCTGTTCTGGGTAAACTGTGACTTGCTACAAGAAAACTGTAGAAACTCTTTCCACCACTTTCCACCCTAACACATAGGTTTGGAGGAATAAATCAGCCTGGTCTTTGTCTTCCGGTAAACGTGTAGATATAAGAAACAAGAATTCACTTGAAGGAATGGCTTTTCCATCATTTCTGAAATCCAGAGACAGTGACAAGTTTATATTTCACTTGTTACATATGGATCTCCGTATATAAACTGGTCACAAGTCCAAGTTCCAGCTACTGACACAAACAAGTGATATATTTCACAGTAGTAACTGACTTCATAAACACACATCATTCCTCTGAAAACTCCAGGATTAGTTCAGTTTTGAAAGAATCTGAAAGACAACTCTCCAGTTATCCATTTTGAATAAACAATGTTTGTATGGTTTTCCTTTATTAGTTCATGCATGTGATTGGGAGACAAATTAAATACATGTAGTTTATCTTCAATGCACATGAACTTAATTTAAAAGCCTTGAATAAAAGACAATCTAAGGGAAATGTTGTGTGTGCACGTCTTGGATAATATTAGCAGAGGAACATACAGGCAGAAGCAAATGTGTTTGAGCATTACTGGGACTAAAGTCATGCATTAGAGGAGACCCAGTACTCTCCACATTGGGCCAATAGGGGGCGCTAGCAGTGACAAAGACGAAAATATAGAAACACAGAGACTGAGAAAATCGTTAATATGTTCCAGGTCTGCATCAGACAGTCGGAGTCATGCATGAATCACACACACACACACACACACACACACACACACTGAAGGTTAAAGGACAACACAGAGCTTCGTATCATTTGCCTTTCAAATTATCCCTCAGAGTTCAGGCCAGAGCAGAGTTGGCGACACGGGAAGGGGACGAGGGTCAGCGCTGGAAATGAGTGTGGCGCTTCTGCATATGAGCAGCCGTGCCCCGCGGCTACGGCAGGCCCTCGCTGGCCCCCTGAAATATTACCTATTATCCCTCTCTCGTGTCCCGCTGTCTTAGTCGCGGAGATGAGTGAATGCAGCGGCAGCTAATGGAGGAGGGAAACAAAGGGAAAACCACGAGATGAAAATGACACCCGGCACCTACCGCTCACATTTCCAATCTTTTTCACTTCAGTCAGATCACCAGTTACTCTCAATTCAGCTTCCCATACAGTTTTATCTTGTGTAGATGTTTCGGTGAACTCTGTGTGGCCCTTGCCGCACCAATTTCCTGTTTGATGGAAACAGACGGACGACGACAGCCATCCTTTCCAATTGTTTACATTAACATCACATTGCTCGCAGTGGAGGTTTGTCCTCTGGTCTTTGTTAATGGTTTATTTGTTTCAGCAGGGACCGAGGCAAGTGTTTAGCAGAGCAGAAAAATAAGCTGCACATCCACAGACATTTTTTTTTTTTTTTAACGCTTTGTCCTTTTTCTTTTCTCTCCTTTTCTCTCTGCAGCTTTTATCGCCGCACTCTACATAGATAAAGATCTGGAGTTCGTGCACACTTTCATGAATGTCTGCTTTTTCCCCCGACTGAAGGTGAGTCTTTATTGATAGCTATTCACCACTCGCACCTGATCAATGAGCCGCTGAGCTGGACGCCTCAGAGAGAAAGAACCGGGGAGATGATGATGATGAGGAAGAGGAGGAGGAGAGCTAATGGCTGGACACTAATGGTGCCACCATCGACGCGGCGCCTGAAGTGGTGCTCGGCCCTTGAACGCCTCTCACGCTGACGGCTCAAATAGCTGTCTTAGTCATCTTTAATGGGAATCACAACAGTGTCGGGTTGTTGACGTTAGTCGTCAGTGTTTTTCCATTGATCCAAGAAGTGCTCTGGCCGTTGATGGCGTCCACTTCCAGGAGTCGGATAGATCGAGCCCATGGCCAGATGTGAGCGAGGAAGGACGAGTCTTTTACTCGAGCATCGTTGAATCGTTCAAGTTAAACAAAAAAAAAGAGCCTTAAAGCCGTACTCCCATTAAAACTGCTGCCGTGGTAAAAGACACAAACTATTACAGTCTCGTACCTAAACAGGCATGTGCACGAGTGTTCTCGCACACACACACACACACGCGCTCTCTACGAGTCTCCTCATAGCGTGGACCTCTCCTTGTGAAGCTGCTGCAGTGGTCTGATATGCCATGCTAATTGCTGTCTTGGTGTGTCTCTCCAGGGAGAATCCCCAGCTCTAGAGGAGCTGAGCTTTGCGTCATGGTCGCTGCAAGAGAGCACCTAATTTCCACTTCCAAGAGAAAAGTTGTGAAACAGCCAGCATGTCTCCTTACATAGCCTTCTGGAAACCACAGCGTTGCACACTGTGCTGCTTCATCCAATTTGGATGGAAATAGATACGAAAAACAAGGGACATAAACGCTCCTTTCCTTATGTTTGCATTTTTTTTCCCCCGCTGCACTGTGTGATTACGCATATAGAGGGGTTTGTGTGAGTGTCAATGCATCCATGCACTTGAAATTGCTTGTACTAGCACCGGGGCTATACGCTGCGCTCTTTTCAAAAACAGCCAAATTCCTGCGCCTTAGGCAAAAGGAGTGAAGATGCCCCCCAGAGTGAGGAAAAGTGGGAAGGAGAAAAAGGGGAAGTTAAGCACGATGGCAAGAGATGGAGGGGTTGTGTGTGTGTGAGCTGGAGTGTAGAAGAGCGAGAGCAACAGAAGCAGAAGCACTCTTTGTAGAAAATTAATAGGAGCAGACAGTTCTGGATTCAAAGTCTGCCTTTTTATGACAAGGCTGCTTCCCTGTTAATGGAAGGGCTTTTAGAAGTCCCCCTTGGATAAGAGAAATGTATCAGGGCTGCACACCTGGGAGACTCCCAGACGCTCTTTATTTCTGGCCGGGGATTGGCTTTTGTCTTAAGTAGCCTGTGATTTGTACTCAGCGTGAAGACACGGATGGAGAGCCAGTCAGAGCGAGAGCAAATAAGTGAGAGCAAAAAGTGGTGGGGTGGAGAGGGTCATGGCAAGAATGAAATAAAAGCATAAGCGACCGGGGGGGGAGGGGGAGAAAGAGTTTGTAACCGCAGATGTTTTTTTTATTTATTTCTGGTGTCTCTGATTCTTTGAATGAAGTCTGAGAAACGGGGAGTGTGATTAAGTGTGTGCTGTGTTCGGTGTGTGTGTGTTGCAGGAGTTCATTCTGAACCAGGACTGGAATGACCCAAAGTCCCAGCTGCAGCAGTGCTGTTTGACCCTGAGGACAGAGGGCAAGGAGCCCGATATCCCGCTGTACAAGTAAGACTCGAGAAAAACACTCGGAGGCTCCCTGACGCTGCTCTGAGCCGACGCCGGTGTTACATTTGTGGAAGTAAAACCAAAATGTTATCTGTCTGTCAACACTGACTTTTAGTTCGCCCTGAATTGAGGTTGAAATATGTCTAAAAGTAAAGTTTTTAATTTAAATGATCCAATTTAAGAAGAAAAAACATAATGAAATGGTGTTTTTGTATTGATGTGCACAGGGATACTTTAGATTCTGTTGAAAATCATAATATAAAAAAGAAATGACAGTTTTGGATGATGCAGAGAATCAAATACCTAACAGGCACTTTGTCACATTAATTAAAGAATAATATAAAAATATAAAATTAGAATAAATAACACCTGATTTTTATTGAATTTTTTGCCTATATTTGTTAATTTCGGTTTAAAATCTTCAGCATACGATCCACAGCTCCTCCGTGGAGATGTGTTCAGCTGAGCGCCACATGTGCTGCAGTCCACGTTTAGAAAAAATGAAATGGAACAAACATTATTTACTGGACTTTTATCCTCGTTATTGGTCCCTGGACGCTGTGTAAAGGTCTCTGTTGTTGTGATAAACACTCACGGCCAAAGAGACCTATTTGACAAAAAGGTCAAGGAGCAAGTGTCATTTGACAGAATGCTTTTCAGAGCTGCCATGAAGCGATGCGTTTGTCGCCATGGAAACTGACAAACAGTATTTTTCACTGATATAAAAAGAAATGGGGGGGGAGGGGGTGGGTCAGCTGGAGACGGAGCAGTTTTATGTACAATGAACATTTAATCCGTCGCCTCTCTCTCGTCCTCGTATTCATTCGACTGTCAGCTCTCCTCCTCTGTTTAGTATTTGCTCTATCAGCGGAGGGAGATTTTTGACGCAGCACAACTCTGACACGACAATCAACACTTCCCTCAAACTCAAGGACGTGAGCGAGAAACCGACGGAGCTCTCGGACGACTTGAATTTCGACATTTCGCCACACGCGCACGAAATTTGACGCCACACCCTCGAGTGTGATTATTTCGCTGAAATTACAACGGCAGCGGCGTGTGAGTCAGACTGAGAGAGAGAGAGAGAGAGAGCGTAAATGGCCGAGGCAGGTGGAGGGAATGACGGAGAGAGTTAAAGGAGTTAATGCCCCCCCCCCCCGCTAAAGGCCCCCCCGGTGGACGTGTCTGGCTGAAGACAGATCCACACCTCAACCCCAGCTCCATCACTTTACTGTACATATCGTCTGTGTGTAGGAGACACCAGGGAGCAGACACATGCCCACTCTGACATTGTGCAGAGAACGGCCTGAGTCACTAAGTAGCTGCTTTTAGTGCGAGCTCCGGCCCCTGCAGACCCCATGCGCTGCTCTTCCCTCTCCCTCGCACACTTCCATCTCTGTGTGCAGCCTTGGAGTTGATAACCCGAGAGCCTCGCAGATTTTTTTTTCTACTCCTGTCTCGTTCTGTGTTATCGAAGCTGCACAATAATTCCAAGTGACACGTTCTCCCTGTTGAGCTTTGGCTAGAACGTCTCGCGCAGGAGTCTTGTTTGCTCCGAACATGCGACGTGCCACTTCATTTGTAAGTGAGAAAGGGAGCTGAATTATTGATAAAGTGTCATAAGTGACCACAATGCATTAAAAATTGACTGCGCTCCTGAAATAAGTAAATTGTCCGTGAATAATTTAGGTGACTCACAGCTTGGGTCTGAGATGTTTATGCTAATGTTAACATTTCAAACATCTCCCAAGTTTTGTCATCTGTCTTGTACGTGCGTCCCAGCTGAAATCGAGCAAAACTGACGGCTTCTGTTTTTTCTTTAAATGAGCTACATCTATAAACTAATCGAGTCTCTCATCGTCCCTCTCTCAGATTTTCCTCGTCCCCTCCCCTCAGCTTTTCCAGTGTTTACCCTTCTAGCGCAACCAAAAGCTCGTGGGTCTCTCAAAGACGAGTCATTCTTTTATTTCAATTCCTCCCCCAACATGTCATTTTTTTAAAACCACACACAGATCTTTGTATCTGACGATGATGGGTGTGGGGAGTAGGGGAGGCTTTAAAAGTTGTTTATACTGCATGTCCCTCAGATTGCTTTGTGCGCTCTGAAAGCACACTAGTGAATCAAAGCGCTATTCCCCTCGCCTAGACCTGCTGCTTGAGATGAATTATATTTGTTCTGATTGAAACCCTTTTTTTTTAATGTTATTTCTCTGAAGAACAATGTCCCTGAGTGTCCTTGCGCCTTTCTCTGGGGTATTATTGCTATTTCTCAGCTCCGCCCTCCTCCGTCTCACGCCATATTTCTGTGTTTGAATTTGCAGGACCCTGCAGACAGTGGGGCCCTCACACGCCCGCACCTACACCGTTGCAGTGTATTTCAAAGGGGAGCGAATCGGCTGTGGCAAAGGCCCAAGGTGAGTAAGACAGTACAATATAACAAGACACAACAGGACAAGGCGCTCTCCCTCTCAGTGCACCGCTAATGGGCTCCAGAATAATGGCTGCGCTTTATTGATGGTGTTTATTATAGCAATTAAGCTCTTGTTGGCCTATTCTATCGGGAGAGACATTATGCAGAATGAAAATGAATCGATTCATTATTGATTTGACGTAAATTGTGTTATGGAAATATCACTTTGTGCAGAAGAGGAGTCTGTGATGAGGCGACACTGCATCTAGGGCTGCATTAGGGTCTTCCTGGGATTTTGTGCTCACAGCAGGACAGGTGTGTGTGTGTGTGTGTGTGTGTGTGTGTGTGTGTGTGTGTGTGTGTTAAACCTTTGCTTGTGCTCACACACACACACACACACTCTTGCTTTTGTTGAGCGAAGAAAGTGAATCTCCGCACGAAGGCCTTTTCAGGGCTGGGGGGGTTGACGATAAAGCCACAGCTGAGCCTGCGAGAAAGGAAACCTAAATCCATCAAACATCTTTTGCCCCCCCACCCCTCTCTCTCTCTCTCTCTCTCTCTCTCCACATGTGGAAATCCCCTCCGCAGCCCCCTACTTGAAAGCGTTCTCTCTTGCTCTAAGCTAGCGATAAGTTTGTCCCTTCCATAGGATCTTTGACAGCTTACTGTTTTTGTATTTACATGACTTAAGCTCCCATCCACCTCCACAGTGGGCTATGATCACACAGCACATAATGTATACGCTGGGACTGAATTGCAGGCGTAAACAGTGCCCGGCACCACAGCCGCCAATAGGCTTACCTTTTTGAAATGTGTGCACGGCGCTACCTGTTATTGTTAAGCAAAGGGGGCTCTTTCAAAACAAATAAAAAAGCACTTTTGATAATCCGCTCAATATTAGGCCTGGTTTTCTTTTCTTTTGACAGAATTTCAGAAAAGGGACATCTTGAATATGCTAAAGACCTTTTCTCTCTCTCTCTCTCTCTCTTTCTGTCTCTCTCCTTTTAAAAATATTTCTAATCTAGCATCCAACAGGCGGAAATGGGAGCTGCGATGGATGCACTCGAAAAATGTGAGTTGTTTGGCAACACGCACCCCTCCTCTCCAAACACACACACACACACATTTTCCACATTTTAAGCCTTTCACACTCTTTGCCTCAGTGGTGAATATTAGCCTTGGCTGTACAGTAGGCAAGATGGCTGGCGGAGAGCTGTGGCCTGACCAGGCGGTTGGCTGCGGCATACAGGACATTAGGCTGTTTGAAGTGCGAGCCCAGAGCACAGGCATGGGGCCGAGCCAGAGATGGAGAACCGACAGAACGAGGATGAGGCTAGCAAAGCATCCTCGACCGTGTCGATCAATCCCGAGGGAGCACAGGAAGTTTATGTCGAGGGCCGTACAAAGTTTTTGTTTTTTTCTTGTGTTTTCAAGCCCCTTTTGTCGACCACGAGAACGAGGCTTCTCACTCTGAGCGACTCTCTCGTGCTCGGCGCTGCTCTTCAGATTGCGGCTGATGCGTCCCCTTTGTGCCGCTTCTCTCCTCGGCTGTTTCTCATCTTGTCATCAACCACCACTTAAGGAAAATAGATAGTGATATTTCGACATTTACTTGGCATTCACTGCCAAGTAAAAATACAATTACACGCCTCTTAGAAACACATGCGCCATGAGCCATTTCCATCATCTCCCGCCTCTTGTACTCGATGCATATGTATGCGGACGCGTAATGCCATACATTACACCGAGTGCGTTAAGAGTGTGCTGCGTATCCCAGAGTAATGTTTGAACCGGACGCCGCAGCTGTCCCTGTGACCACGGCATTAATCAAATGTTCGTTTTTTTTTTCCATTCCTCAACTAATTAGTCTGAAGCGAACACAAATGGCTTTGTTGGAACAAACCTGTGGAACGCTCCGGGGGCAGGAAGGTCAAACTCTGATTTCATTTGGCTCGTAAATGAGGCCTCCAGCCGCATGTGATTGATACTGTTTGTGCACCCGAGCTTTACTTTTTATGAAACATTAGTGTTGGGGGTTGTTACTATTTAAAACTGTTGATCTCCTTCTCTTTCTGCTCCCGACTCCCTCGTTCCTTATCAGGGGGCGTAGTTCAGTGCACACTCTCTCTCTCTCCTGCGCCTTCCTTCCTCCCTTAATTCCTCCCACTTCCTCTCCCCGGTGTACGCCTCTGTCACCATGATTGATAGATGCTCATTGCTAGTAAATGAACATTTCCCCCCTCATAAATTGCAGTTTCATGTGACTAGATTAGCAATTCCCTTCTAAAAGGTCAGTTAATTTAAAATCATCTCCTAAAGTCTTCCTCCCTTTGCTGCAAAATACTTCCAGTTCGAGGGCTTTGTTTGACTTTGTGTTGTCACTTAATTTAAACCCCCTCAGCGCGATGTACTCTTTTTCTCTCACCCTGTGCACCAGAGTACCTGAGGTGAGTCCATTATATTAATCAAATTAATTAACTGGCTGAAAACACAGAGAGGGCGCTCAGTGTGAAAGATTGTAAATACTGTGATAGAATAAGGACAAAATGTTGATTAAATGATCGACAACAATTTGATAACGAATAAATCATAGAAGTCATTTATTGGGAGGAGGGGGGGTCACTGTTCTGTATAATTGGAAGTTGAAGTTCATTTTGTTTTGGACCACTGATTACACAGAAACAAGTTAAAAACCTTGACTTGATTTCTAGAGACTATGTGAAGGTTGATTTATTAGATAAGGAAACGGATCAAACCTTCTGTCGATAGCTCACAAATACGGACAACGTAAAAAAGACGCTTGTAGATTTTTGACCGGTGACGTAGTTACTTTCTCATCATCCTTGAGATTAATCGCTCAGTAACCTTATTATTAAAGACTAATCAATATTTAAAATTCACGAGTTGTTGCCCTAATGTGGCTGAAAGTCCCGAACCATTGAGTTTTCGATGGCGGTTGATCCGATCTCCTCCTCTGTCCGTCATTTACGTCCTCGTTACTTCGTGGTCACGTTTTGAATGAAGAGCAGCCGGCTGATCAGTTTATTCGCATTTTCAGAATCCGCTTGTCAAGGCCTGGATTAATGATTTTCCGTGCGGGAAGTCTCACCACAACATTTACATTCTGTTCCTCGCTGTTGCAACATCATCTCGTTGAGATAAATATGGAAGGTCAGTCGACGGGGTTCAAACGCGTCTTTGAAGTACGAGTGTCTCTCTCCCGACCGCACGCTCGTGTAATGAGACTCGGCTCATCCGCCGCCTTGACGCATCAACTCCCGTTGGAGCTGCATTGTCTCTCCTGTGATTGTCGAGGGCCTCGCTTCATTTGTTCACATAGCAAGACTAATCAAGGACATTAGCCCCGGTGTCATGTAATTCGTCATTGATTGTCTTGTTGGCCCTCACTGCAGCATTGGCTACACCATTACTCGTCTTGTACGACAGCCCCTAACTTGAGTTACTCTTGAATCGAAAACACCTCCGCGCAACGTGTCAGGATTCATTTCCATGTTTTATTTAAGGCCTTCTGGAGCATCAGAGGCGCTTTGAGCAGGACGGAACTTTTTTGTTTCTGCCGCAGAGCCTTTCCTGGCTGACAGAACCAGCGGTGTCGGAGAGGTGAGAGACATGGCTGTGTTCAGTCAGACAGCTCAGAGCTCATTAAAGAGGCCGGGGCCCGATATTTGGTGTGTGCTGTCTGTAGCCGAGCCGCTGGTGGCTCAGCTGATTCACATTTCATTATTTGATGGCCCACGTTTTGACAGTCTCCTGCCTGTATCTGTCAAGGCAGAATTAAATGTTAACCAAGGCCCAGGCCGGGAGAAACATGAGTGCAAACAAATCGAGCTGAGAGCAGCCAGGTAACGGAACAGAATCGACGGAAGGAGGGAGTCTGCGGTGCAGAGTTTCTCGGGCCCTCAGGCTCCGAGCACCACGCGCCGTTAGGTCTGAGGCGACATCAAATATACATGGAAACGGCTTAACCATTTATCATTCATCCTTGCAGATAGTACAGTCTCTGTTTAAAGTCTGCAGTCGCTCTCTAAGACTCAGCTCCCTCCACTTCCTTTTTTTTTTTTTTTTTTTT